CAGGAATGGGAGCCCCTTCCCCTAGCAGCTTGATTCCAGGAAGGACCTATCTCTCCCCAAACACACACACACACACACACACACACACACACACACACACACACACACACACACACTTCTACATTTCTACCAATACTGTTCATCCTTGACTTACACATCTTCAGTGATGGGGACTCATTGTCCTATGGGAGTCTCCTCTCTCTCCCTCCCTCCATCTCTCCTCCTCCTCTGTTCCCCAGCCCTCCCACCATTCATTCCCTGTGGGAGTCTCTGGTCTCTTTTCTCTTTCTCCCCACCGTCCTGACATTGCATTATCCTGGCTCTGTACTCAGCAGACCCATTAGGGTCCCCTCCCTTCAACATTACCTCCCATATGGCTGAGTGTGCTGGCACATACCTATAATCCCAGCTACTAGGTTGATAGAGGCAGAGCATTATGGCCAACTCATCAAGGCCAACTCAGGCAAACTCTGGACACTATCAAAAACAAACCAAAAGTTGGGTGCCAGTGACTCACGCCTGTAATCCTAGCTCTTCAGGAGGCTGAGATCTGAGGATCACCATTCAAAGCCAGCCCAGGCAGGAAAAGTACATGAAATTCGTATCTACAATTAACTACCCCCAATCAGCTGCAAGTGAAGCTGTGGCTTAAGTGGTAGAGTGTTTTCCTTGAGCAAAAAAGCTCAAGCACCAAGTCAAGCCTCAGAACAGGCACAGGAAAAAAAAAGGCAAAGAGGGCTGAGGGTATAATTCAAGCAGTCCTGAGTTCAAACCCTCAAGTCTGCCAAAGAAAAAGAAAAAGCCATGCTCCTGGCCAGCGGAGAGATCCCATAAAACAGTAATAAGAACACCTGAGTGATCATGATCTGCTAAGTGCTGTGTGTCTGGCTCTGTCATCCAGATGCACTCCAGTCCTTAGGAGAAGAACAGCGGGGGAAGAGGTCATTGTTTCTCCCTGTTCCATAGCCAGGGCTAGGGAAGCATTGAGGGCCTGGGGGAACTTGCTCACACATGCCCAGGGATCAAACACAGTCTACTCCTAAGACTCAGCTATGGCCTCCCAGCAAGTCTTCTTCCATCTACCTAGTATGTGTTTACCCTCACGCTGGCTCCTGCCACTTTGCATGAGGCTTCCACTGCCTCTGTCTTTCCTGGGATTGCCACTCATTTGTTAATTTTGTTATCAGAACTTCTCCCAGACAGGAGCTGACTATGCCTCGTTCACTTCAGAATCCGCCCCCATACCACCCCCTCGAAGTACACAGCGCTTAGATATTAATGTATCTTCACAGAATGACAGGTCTCCAACTTCTAAGGAAGACCTCTGTGGCTCACGCTAGCATGCCTGTAGCGCTGTGGCCCACACTAGCATGCCTGTAGCAAAAATATCAATCAAGTGAGAAATGCAATGTTCAAGGAGTAACTGCAAAGATAAGCAAGATAGCAGGCTGCAGGCAAAGCAGCAATGTGGAGGGCTACAAAGAGCCTCAGCCACGGAAGCCAATCACTTTCAGTCTTGGTCTCAATTTTGCCAGACTCCTGGCAAGTGGGACAAGTGTCTTCTCCCTGGGCTGTCCATCCTAGATGTAAGGGAGAATGAATGGCTTTGGGATGCTTCCAGTGTAATCAGCCTGAGGGTGAGATTCTGGCCAAACTGCTCCTGGAGCCAAATTGGCTCAGTGAGTTCCCAGCATGACTGTCCCTCCAGTTGCTGGGTACAACTTGCCCAGCGCTACCCACATGTCCCATCATCTACTGAAAGATGGTAAAGGAGCAGTGGGAATGGATGCAACAGATCCCACAGCCAATCCCAGTGTACTTGTCACGCACAAGGTGTGATGCAGATGTCTGCACAGGTGGTTCCCTAAGGTGGGATTCCCATGACTTTCCAGGGGCTTCCAGGATATCCTCCCCCAGCTCTGCCTTAATGTTGCTGTGGAGGGAACATCCCAGGAGAGGAACTCTCTCTCTCTTGGCTGATGACCTTGCTTTCTAATTCACTGAGAAGATCAAAGCAAATTAGAATCAGTAGGATTTGATCTCTTCCCACCACTCCCCAAAGCCTCAACCCACACATCTGTGCACTCCTAATCTGGAAGGTGAAAATTGGCCAATCTCTGTGGCTATGCCAGGAGATGGTGATAAGAGCTTCTGGGGGAAGCTTGAGAGAATTAGCAAGATCATTCTGAAAATTCATATAGCCCAAAGTCTGACTGGAGAGGTGGGTGAGCTTAGTCATAATGATGCTTCCATTATGGTGGCCAGTACTCATGGATCAGCGGGCTGAAGTTTGTCAGGAGCAGAGATTGGAGGGTAAGTGGTCAACTCCACAGCTCCATAGCCACTCTCTCACCCACTCTTGACACTTGAAAGCACCTTCTTCTGCCTGTGACAGTGCTCATCGTGTTACTCACAGGGACTCCGTACTTCTGGACCCTAAGAAATGGTCTTGCTTCTGTCTTTCTCTGTATCATCATGGGCATCTCTGCTGTCTTTTTTTTTTCCTTCAACATTCAAGTATGCTGGCACCAAGTATTTGGGCATTCCTGGCCAATGGCTGTAGCATGACAGATCAAAGCAGAGGTTGGCTCAGAATGAAAGGCCAGCAGCCATGGCATAGGTCTTTTGCCAAGAAGCCACTGCTAGCAACCAAGAGAGAGAAACAGCACCAGAGGATGTCTAGGAGGGCAAGAGTTACTGCCAAGTTCTCACGTCCATCAGGGCCTACCTGTGTAACCACGAAAGCATGGAAGAAGTGACTGCCTGTGCATTCCAAGTTCCAGCCACAGGAGATGCTTCTGATGTCTCTCTTACGCCACACTGGAGGAGTAGGCCACCCTGACATGGCAAAGCCAAAAGAAAGAGCAGCACAAACTTCCTGCTGACATCTGTCTTCGGCTCTGTCCATTCCAGATGCTATGACATAAAGTAGTTCACAAACACCCTTGCAATGTACTTCTCTAGTTTGAGAGGCCACAAGGCCAAAGTCAAGAAATGAACAGATGAGGTACAGGTACAGGTACAGGATGAGATCTGTTCCTTCTTTCCTGGCTCACAGCTGCCATATTTTCACTGTAATTTCACATGGTAGAGGGGACAAGGAGTTTCTCACAGGCCTCTTAAAAAGGCACTGATCGCCCACTCGTGAGGCTATCCAAGCACCCCGTCTCCTGATACCATCCAGAGGGGTGAGCACTGCATGAATTTGAGGGAGACACAGGCATCTGGACCCCAGCCACACAGCTCAGAAGCTCAGTGAGTGACTTACAGGAGGAGCAGGACCTAGCGCTCCTGAAGAGCCTTCTGATAATAGTGAGACAGACCAGAGGAACTCAAATCTCCTGACCAGAGTTAAGGGCTGTTAAAGACTGTCAGGAAACTTAGTGTCATGATAGGTCCTTACTACAGGCACCCATTTATGTCTATTTTTCCTTTAAATAAACTAAGCTTTGGGAATCTGACAGCTATCAGAACCTTTTCCTGTGCTTTGAGCCAGGAGTACTTTCTTCTTTGGTAAAAGACTACACTGTAATCACGGCCATGTGGCTATCTTTTATTGTTGTTGTCATTGTTGTTGTTTTGTCAGTCCTGGAGCGTGGAGTCAGGCCTGGGCTCTGTCCCTGAGCTTCTGTGCCCAACACTAGCACTCTATCACGTGAGCCACAAGACCACTTCTGATTTCTTGGGTGTTAATTGTAGATAAGTGTCTTGTAGACTTTTCTGTTTGGGCTGGTTTTGAACTGAGATCCTCAGATCTCAGCCTCCTGAGTAGCTAGGATTACAGGCATAAGCTGCTGGCACCTGGCAGTAGTTTGAACAGTCCACGGTCACTCCAAGGAAATGCCGTCTCAGCTGCAGAGAACACTACAACCATGCCTTCTCTGAAGCCTCAACTTATGCTTGAGAAAGAGGCATTGCTCCAGTCATGTCACTGCAAACCATCTGCACAGGAGACTGTACCACAGCAAACTTCTGTCAGCTCCAGAATGCTCTGCCTGATCTGAAGCCATATTTACTCAGAATGGGAAGGAAAGTATCTCCAGTGAAAACTTTGACATTGCTGTTTTAATGAGGTTTGTGATTGGTGGAATTAGAATGTGCACAAGCATTCCATACTCCTCTTCTAGCTATCTAAGCAGGCTGATTTTATTCTTAAGGAGTCAGTCTAGGATGTTTCTCTTAATTCACTACAACTTTCTCACCACACACGTGTGTGCATGTACACACACATACACATATACATCCCACTTCCTTGTGTGGCAACAATAGAAGCATCTTCGCAGTGGTCTTCTATTGCTGTTTTGTGGCCTTTGTCACTGGCATGGACTGAGCTGGTAACATGAAGAGGAGGTTGTTCCTACAGCTTCTAGACCCAAAAATGGCAGCAGTGGTTGCGGTGGCGGCGGCAGCTGCTGCCACTGCAAGGAAATGAGTTGCAAGTGACTGAAGTTCCAGAGAGCAACTGGGGATAGAAGGATAGTGGTATGCTGGGATGCAGAAGATAGGAGAGCCAAGGCTGCAAAACCCAACTCAGTACAAGGGTTTCAGAGAGATGCCAAAGGCTCAAAGCCAGGAGTCAGAAGCCTGGAAACTGTCACATTAGCTTCTATTAAGTAAGAGCTAAAAGTCTTGACACCCAAACCTTGGGTGCTGCAGTATAAGCTGCCAGAGATTCAGGATCCTGAGTTTGCTCTACCTGAGCACCTGAAATCTTGGAACTATTGGTATCTAGCTCTCGGGAGATTAGAGTTATACACTTCTGGGATTTAGAAGCCCGGTCTAGCCAGTACGCTTCTGGTCCTCAGAAGCCCTAGGTTGTCGATAAGGAAGCTATACCCAACCACTTTTCTCTCTGTCTCTGTCTCTGTCTGTCTCTCTCTCTCACACACACACATACACACATACATGCACATACACACTCCAGCCATTTGTGACAACAGTGTCCAGAGGCCCTGGTTCAGAAACACCTTGCCAAAATGACCTACAGAAACCAGAGCAGATCACAAATGCCAGTTCTTATTGGCCATGGTGCTGGACAGGTGCAATGCTGTCCACGCGTCCCCGTCCCCATAGGTCCCGTTCACCTCCTCCTTGGAGCCGTGCACCTGCAGCATCACCAGCAGCCACAGGTCATCCTCCACCATGGCCCAAAGCAACTGCTGCCCCAGGGGCACAACGAAGCTTGGCAGCGGGGCCGGAAGAGCTTCTGCTCGTACTCGGATCCAGTGTTCCTTCTCCTCTCTGCAGGCTTCCAGCCCCAGTTTTGCATAGCCATCCAGGGCTCCTTCCCAGATGCTGTTGGCCAGGGTGTTGCCCATGGCGGTCATGATGGCCAGCAGCTTGGGTGGCCAGTCATTGAGATCGAGTGAGCGGACCCGGGAGAGGTGCGCCCCCAGGTGCTGGTGGGGTCCCCAAGCACTCTAGCAATTCGAGGGGGATTTGTTACACATCATAGGCAACTGATATGATGGAATCCTATTCTCTACCTTCTGTCCTCAGGTCTATTGCGTGAATACATCCTGTTGGCCTTGCAGTTCTGAGGAGGTGCTCACACAAGTCTATGCTTGGAGGACTGTCCATTTTCCCCTGCACTAGATGCCCACAGGGACACACAGACAGTCTGTCCATGAGTCTAAGCTATGGAGAAACCACCTCCCATGGACCATTTTCATCCAAAGTAGGATAGGTGATAGCCCCATGGTGAAGGAAGTTTTGGTTTTATCTTACATCCAAGGTTGAGAAATGCCAAACTGAATCATCACAAAACCTCTCAAGGTTTGTAGATGGATCATTGCACAAAGTTGCTCCATGGGAGTTGTAAGGACCACTTGTATCACAAATGCTTGTGGGAAGGGCCAGCTGTAAGGGTCACCTGCATCAGAACCCTTGAAGGACAAAGGAGAGGTTGATGAAAACATACACTATCAAGCAGATTCTGGAGCTTTACTGTCTACTTCAAGGCATGAATGAGCTTCTTAGCCTGAATGAGCTCAGCTTGCACGGAAGGAACACATTGAGGTCTAGCATGACTGTGGAGCTTTGAGTGGTAGGATGTGCTCAGAAAAAGCATCTGGGAAGAGGACACTGTCTCATGTCCCTGCCCTGTGTGAGCTGGAGGTATAAGCAGCAAGATGCTCTGTATTCTGAGACGTCTCCATTTTGGCTCCAAGACAATTCTTCAGTTGCCTCATATTCATCATATCTCATGCTGCATTTTTGCCAAGTAAAACAAGTATATGTATATATTTTAGGGAGAAATTAATGCATATGTTTCTGATTCATCTTATGTGGAAACTATCAAAATATTGTGTCTGAAATAAAGTAACATCTCGAAAAGGGTTTTGATCATTTTGCCAGGTTTTTGTGCGTCTCTTGGTAGCCCTGGGTCCTGGTCCCATTGCCTGCTAGAGACGTATCAGTCAGTGCAAAAACCACCTGTTCCAGGAAAAACTCCCTGGTTGTCCCAGCTACTAAACACACAGCACAGGAAGTCCCAGATAAGGCCCATATGGAATTATTCTTGTTCACAGAGGTCACAAGCTTGCTCCAGGCCTGCTGTATTCTACCACGACACATCTGCCTAGCCTCAGAGGTGCACACCACTGGACAGGGCTATGCAGGGGAGGCTGAACTGGAAGATGAGGAGGCAGGAAGGGAAGGAACAGTTAGGAGGTTTGAGCTCTTAGTCCACAGTTTCTCAGAGTTGTTCTTTCATTAGTAAATCACTCAGATGCAGAGCAGATGGGAGCCAGCAGTCAATCTGTGCCTCTCCTGCTACGTCATGGATTCTCCTGGAGATTGGGAGGAACACTGGCCCCACCCCAGCCACACAATAGGTCCTGTGGTTGCTGAGCTGTAATTCGGATGAGGCCAGCCACCTTTGACTGAGCTCCTCACCCAGGCTTAACCTGTGCCAAACTCCTGAACTGGGCCACCATCCCAGGTGGTGGTTTAGCACAACTCTTCCCCTTGCTGAGGAGTTCCCGGTCTCTCCTCCATAGCCAGACTCCTCCTCACCCAGCTGGTAGTAGACCTGACCAGCACTCTGTCCTCACAGGCAGAGAGATGTGGCAAATGAAAGTCACCATCTCAGAGAGCTGTTGGCACATTGCTTTTCATCCCCAAGCCTACAGGACACAGTGTCCTGGATCTGACCACATGTTTCTCCAGAGCCCTCTCAAGCATTGTTTTTCTTTTCTCATGGCTGTCCAGACCTCCTGGGCTCAGTTCCCTGGCTTGTGGTAGCCAAGAGGGTAAGTCTAGGAGCTAGTTCTCATTGCTAACATGACAAGGTTTCAGGATGCTCTTTCTCTATTTCTATGTCTGTCTCTTCTCTCTCTCTCTCTCTCTCTCTCTCTTTCTCTGGCAACCACCAGCACCATCTTTCTCTGGCAACCACCAGCACCACCTTAGGGGTCAACCTTGAGTTTATACTACTACAAACACTGTTGCTTCTAGAGGTGTTTTTTTCTTTACTGACATACTTCCTGTTATTCCTATTATTCCTCTCTGGAGCAATTCACCACGGGCATTTCCTGGTGGACAAAGGGCCTACCACTAGGCCAAAGGTGGAGAGTCATACAACTCAGCACCCTCATGAAGAGCAATGGCAGGGCTCTAATTGTGTGTTCATGTGGGACCCTGTCTCAGGGAAGCTGTCAGTGCTGTGATAATGGGCACTAGGTGCACCATGGCTGTTTAGTGGGTATCAGATATCTTCTCTGGGAACAGAATGGAGATTCAGAAAGACAGTGAGAGCCCTTAAGAGGAGCTACAGCATGAGAGGTCAGGAAATTGCCTGCAGGAACAGCTTCCTTCTCCAGGATGCAGCTTCCAGGCAACCTGCAGGGTGCAGGAAGAAGTCAATGTCCTGTTGTGAAAGACCAACAAACAATACTCTTGTAGGAACACTTGCTAGTCACGCTCTGCTTGCAATCAAAGATCCCAGAAAGAGGGGACTGTGTTTTTCCTGTGTAAACTAAGTGGGTGGTAGGATATGTGTTTGTAACAAACAAACAAATAAAAAAACAGAAAAAAAATAAGGAGAGCTTGTAACTGTGAGACACAACCAACACAATCAATTTTCTTCCAAATTTTCATAGTTGGTTTCACATGCTTGAGACTTTTCTCATCTCCCTTGTTAGTGTTGCATCATTCATAATCACTTTTTGCCATCTCCAAATGCCTGCTGAAAATAGCTTCAATAGTTACATCGTATTCCAGAGCTAGTTGTATTTCAAGGCTGGTTGTACTGTGGTTGTTTTATCCATTTTTCCCATTGATAAGCATGTATTATTCTTGCCTCAAGATTTGACTTTTATTCCCAGGGCTAGAACGAATCTTTGTGGATAAATCTCTGCATCTCTGATTAGTTTCTTACCCAAACCTAAAAATGAAACTAGTGTCTATGGCGTTAGGTACTAGTGGCTTACATTTGTAATCCAATATAAAGATAAATAAAAATGAAGGAAGGAAGGAAAGCAGGAAGGAAAAAAAGCAGGAAAGAAGGAAGGCAGGAAGAAAGGAAGGAAGGAAAGAAAGATGGTAGGCCTGTGACAGTTTACACTTCTAACAACAAATAAGTCAGATGCCCTCCTCACAGAAACTGAGCATTTTCCCTTGAAAAGGTACAACTCTCATAACTTAAATATCTACAATTGTCACAGGTGTGCAACAAGCCAAGGGAGACACACAGATCTTGCAGATGAAGCTCAAAACATGAGGTGCAGGACTTGTAAAAGCCTGTCTATGCTGCACTCACGGGCTTCTCTATCTGAGCCTCACAATCCAAAACCGCCCCAGACTCGGCTGGACCAGGCCAGGCATCTTCACATACAGGCTTTCCATGAACATCTTCACACATCTTCCTTGAAAATGTGTAACACGAAGCTGTATCCCAGAGAGCTAGGCTGTCTGCAGCTGGTGCAGTTCCAAAAGCAAATGGAGAGAGGAACAAAGATAGCCAGCCAGGCCATTTCTCTTCTGCTATAAGGGGCAGGGAAGAGGCAAAACTGGGGAAAGGTCCCAGAAGTTAAGGCCAGTCTGTCCTCACAAGTATAGAGAACAAAAACAAACCAGTTTCTCCCTTACTGAATACCAGTGAAGTTGGGCTTTCTTGTCCATATATGGTTGGTCTGGTCTCGTGCTTCCCCCACTTCCAACCTTCCCCTGGAACTTTATCTTCTCATGTGTAGCCATGCCCTAGTCTTAGGATAGTTCAGGCACAAAAACAGTATTTCAAGGCTGACTCATCTGAGAGTTCAGTACAAGTATTATTTACAAAGGTTTGGTCAAGGAATGGGACTCTGGAACCCAACAGAGGACTGTGATATCTCTATGGTAGATGTACTCTAAGATGGCCCCCAACCAACAAGTCCACCATACCCTTTGAGTGTGAGCAGGGCCTATGCCTTGTTTCGTTCCAATTGGACCACAAAGGTAAGGAGATAATATTGTGGCCACCTGAATTTATATCATGAGGTTCTTTGCAGACAAGAGAGGGTCTCTTACTGGCCTAGAAAAAGAAATTAACTCTGACGTGTTAACCATTGCATGGCTAGCTTGAAAGCCCAACAGCAGTCTTCATGCCACAGCCAGTAAAAGGCTGGGACTTGCACATAGGAGTTAGACAGCTATGGAAGAGAAGGACATTCATGCTTCAAGACAACCTGAGAAGCCCTTGCGAGACCTTCATTCTGGGAACACAGTGTTAACTGATATAATCCAAGAAGGCTTCCGGGAGGAGTTGATACACCAGCCTGGCATCTTAGAAGATGGCATCTGGAGGAAAGATTGTGGGTGGGTGGGGGCAAATGATATGGGATCAGGCTCTGAATCTGGTTATCCAATTCTAAGTTGGTAGCGAGTTATCTACCTAATTGCTTTTTCAATGGCACACTACCGAAACACTCTTTTGGAAAAGTTTCACAGCAAAATGATACAATGATTGGCTTTTTAAAACAACATCATCAAATTTGCACTGCAAAACATGCTTTGATGATACTCTGTAGCAAATGGACCATGCCAGTCCCTCAGGACACAGGCATTCATGTTAAGATAAGGGTGGAACAGAGCCTGGGACTGTCAGGGACCATGTTTTCCCTTGCTGAGGGGGAGGTGGTTGCAGCTGGCAGCTGTGAGTGCTTCCACCTCAGCCCTGTTGGTTCTTTCTTTTCTTTTCTTCTTTTAATATACTTTTATTGTAAAAATACTGTACAGAGAGGTTACAGTTGCATGAGTAAGATAATGAATACATTTCCTATCGAGCATTGTTACCTCCTCCTTTGTTTTCTCCCTACCAGCCCTTCCCTCCCCACCTCCCCCTTCTCTCGCCCCCCCCCCACCCAAGTTGTCAAGTTCCTTTTCAACATAGTGTCTTGTGCATCTCATTGTTACAATGGGTCAACCTGTATCCTTATTT